AAGCATATATCCACCATATGGTAATGGGTTAATATTCAATTGATCAACATTCTCTGGTACACCATCTGGGAAATTATGATTCAGAGTTGTAAAATTAAGAGCAGAACCTGAAGAAAGGAAAGTAACTTTAAGATAAGATATCTTGTTTGTGAAAACATTTTCATCATTTTCAGATTGAACAGATTGTGTTACTGTCATCGTGCACATGTGACCTACACCAGTACTAGAAATAGCACATCGAAGATACGAGAACGTTAAATTTTGTAGAGAAGTTTGCCAGAGTAAAAGGGAGGTTCCAGTACTATTTTTTCCGTATTCCAGCGGATAAATGCGTAATGTTCCCCGAGAAGCCAAATCATCTGATGAGTTATTAGATGTCGAATTATATGTTGAATTAAAAGTGCTACCAAAGATGATAGCGTAATCTTCATTTACTGTTGAAATCGCCTCGAACACAGTACTACGAAAAGAACCAGTGATATCAATTGTTCCAGTTGCATTTAATTGTATTATATCCCCATTGTTGGCCCTAATGTCAAATATCGGGTATGAATCACTTGATAAATTTTTTGAAATTGGAAAGAAAAATAAACAAAAATTGGGATTCTTCTGATGAACTGATGAAAATTTACATGATATATTGTCCCCATTTAATAGCATTGGAGGATATACTTAGTCGCAAAAAACCTTTATCCGGATTAATATTTCTACAGATAGTATTCTTATTTGGCACCGAAAATATTGTTGTACCAAAATTTATTGGACTATATCGATATGGTATAAAACAATGATATTTAGAGATGAATCAAGTATAGTGTTAATCAATTACTTTATAACGATAATGAAGAAAATTTCTAACCGGTATTTATTTCCATTCCAATCCACTACCATTCCCCAATAGGAGTAGGTAGAATTATCAAACACATTGGTAGCATTATAATAAGTTACTAAGGCATAATTAGTGTTTAGAGCATAAAGTTTGATAGGATCGTAAAGGTCCGAATTAACATCAACTTTAGAAACACAATAGTTTAGTGATTGAATTCCCAAGTCAATATCTCGTTCAATTACAGTTCCGTTGGAATATAAAACTCTCAATGATAATAACTTTTGAAAACATGCTATACTTGATATTGTATTTGATGTTGTATTTAATATAAGTTGATTGGAATTAGGGTCGTTACGAACTATACGTAAAACTATGGTTCCATCATCATACACGATCGAGTTCCACACTTGAGGTAATATATTTTTCCCATATTTTATTGTTTCTACGTATGAAAAGTTCGAGATCTTGCTTTCAACTTGCCTAATTCTTGCAGAAACGAGTAAAAGTGTTACCCACAACAACAAAAGTGTAACGACCATTTCAGCTAATTATTTTCTCATATGAAACAAATTCCTTTTTGATCACATGCATAACTGTGTTCCTAATAACTTGATGCTCCAAAAAAGAAAAAAGAGCAAAAAAAAATCGAATAATGATAATAAAAAAAAAATAAGAATATATATATATATTATATCCAAGAAAATAAATT